CTAAGACATTCATCTCAATAAGAGGAAGTGTTTTTCTGGTGGTCTACTATGCTATCATATCACAAAAACATGAGGAAACAGATCTTTCAGAAACTTGAAGAGTATAAAGAAAGGGGTTGGATTTAAATTGAAAGCCACCAACATCAGCAATATTTACTTGACATCGAGGGACACCTCAAAGAGTTGGTGACTCATCCATTAGACCAATGATATGCAAGAGGGATGCTTCTTCCCACACGCATGATTCCAAGGGCAAACAGTCCCCTAATGATAGCGCAGTATCGACTTGCAGTAGTTCCCCCAGGCAAGAGTGAGCTGGCCAGCATCAAAGAGCAGAACTGTCACAGTAAGGAAGAGAAAACACTAGTGTATCTAAGTGTACCACAGCAAAAAAACAGCAAGGAAAGGAGAAGAGTGTCACACAACAGTGCTCGTGGCCACAGAGGATGGACAGTGGAACATACAAAGACATCCCCTTCCACAGTCAACACAGGGAGCAAAAAAGTAAACCAATCACGGTGATACCACTGGTTGAGTGCCTGCCTGGAAGTATGAGTGTGTGTGTGTGTGTGTGTGTGTATGTGTCTGTGTGTGTGTCTGTGTGTGTCTGAGTGTGTAAAGGGAAGAAAAGAAGCGAAGGGGGCAGGTATGCTAGCAAGTGAAAGGCCACAGACTCTCAAGAATAAAAACAAGAAAACCGCTGTCTCTATCTAATAGGATCCAGTACTCAAGCAATTGGAGTGGAATGGTAATAACCAACTTGGAAAGATCAAACACTCATCAGGTGAATAAGGAGAAGGAAGAACAAGGCAGCAACATGAAGACTGGAGACACAAGAGAGAGTAGTAGGTTTGGGAAAATGCTAGAGGCAGTGGTCTAAACATGCACATGGTTGCATACATATTCAGAGATCCAAAGACAGTAATGAGTATACATTTATGTACATATACAAGCACACATATGCTTGCCTAGCTATTGTAGCTGACTCTGTTGCTGCACTCCCCCACACACACACACATACATATTCACTGCTACCACTTGAACACAAGGCCAGATTTCCAGCTGTTAACACCTGTATTTCTTCCTCTGGCCACCTGAGTGGCAGGCTAGAAATGCTACCCAGTTTAATTTGTCCGGACCCCTTTGGTGGGCACCCCCCTGGAACTGGCGGCTAAGACCTTGGGTGTTGCCGCTGGTGGTAAGGGGAGTTGGGGATTGAGAATCCCCTCTGCTTCCCTACAGTCATGCCCACGCTGCTGGCGGTAGGGGGAGTTGGGAGTTGGTATAGAAATAACTCAGCTCTTTCATCACTTAGTAAGAAAATCATGAGGCATGAATTTTATACAGGTTTCCAGAGTTTCCCCAGTAGGATTAAGATCTGGTAATCCACACTGGTAGTTCATTTGGTATCTTGGTTTATGCTATCATAAAATGCTACCGAATGGGGAATTTAAAAAGAACTGATATTTATTTATTTCTCACAATTTTGAAGACTGAGAAGCTCAATATCAAGGCACCAGCAGGTCTGGTCTCTGTTGAGGTCTGCTTTTTCTGCTTCCAAGATGGCGTCTTCTCTGCATCCTCTGGAGGGCAGGAAGTCTGTGTCCTCATGCAGCGGTAGGAATGGAAGGGTAAGAGAGGTCAAACTCTCTCCCTCAAGCCCTTTCATAAGGACACTAAACCATTTGTGAGAGCTGATTCCCCCATGGCCTAATCACCACCTCTTAAGACCAAAACAATGGGAAATAAATTTCAGCACATGGTTTTGGGGGAACATTCAGATCTTAGCACTTGGTAACATACCCTCCACTGGCTGCCTCCCCTTCTTGTCTCATTTCCACATTCTTCTGTCAGTCTTCTTTATCTCCTACATAAACTATTTACATTCAAATAATTGTCTCAGGGTCTGTTTTTGAAGGAATCCAAACTTAGACATGTAAATATGTGTGTTTGGATTTGTATTTATATTCACACTTACATATATATATTTGTTTATATGTGTGTATGTGTCTAGATAAATACAAATACAGATTTACATACACACAAATATATATTCACATAAATATAGCTGGCCTTCCATATCCATGAGTACCACATCTGTGGATTCAACTGCCTACAGATGGAAAGTATTTGGAGAAATTTCTGAATCTGTACTGAGCATACACAGACACAGACTTTTTCCCTTGTCATTATTCTCTAAACAATAGAGTGTAACAACTATTTACATAGCACTTACATTGTTTTAGGCATTGTAAGTGATCTACAAATGATTTAAAGTATTTGGAAGATGTATGTAGGTTGTCAGTGATTATCACACAGTTTGATATAAGGAACTTGCGTCTGTAGATTTTGGTATCCACAGGGGGTGCTGACCCCAACCCCCAAAAGATACTGAGGGACAACTATCCTATTTATGTGCTCAAATGCATAAATATTTTCCTTTTTACCAACGTACATCAAGTTATTATAGACCATCTTCTTTTGTCAGAGGAATCTGAAGCCTAATGTTCTGAATGGCCCCCACTCCATAATGGCCCCATAATAACCTCCCCAGCAGCATTCGATCTCCTCCTGACCATGGCGGAAGCCCTGCTCCAGTATTTCCCTCTTATTCAGAAAGATGGCACCTCACACCCCACACATGCTACCAGCCACAGTTGCCATGCCAGCTGCTGGCTTACACTGACTAGCCTCATGCCTGTCAGCTACAAAGCCAGACCATACATCTGCATTATTACATTCTCAAGCAGACACCTCCACAGCTGCAAGCTCAAATCAAGGACAAGTACTGCCAAGACACTAGGGTTTTATTTAGTGCACTACATCAAAAGATAGCAAAATGAAAGAATATGAAAAGCCAGGTTATTCTAATAATGAGCTTCAACAAAGTTTACACCTTAGATTTTTTGTATTCATAAAAAGAAAAACTGCTCCAGGACCCTCTCCCACACCCAAGCCCACACATCCATGTCCTAACCTCAGGCGAGAACTCCAGCCTCTCTCCCACGTATTCTACTAGTAGAAAAGGCGGGTGTCAGAAATATAATCAAAAGCATAAGTGGCCCTTTAAGTGCTGAGGGTGAAACACACAAAATTAGAAAAAAAATCCAGGACTGATAAGAATACAAGAAATAAGATTATAGACGTGTAGGAATGGACATGTAGGTCTGGAAAGAACTCAGCTGGCAGGAAGGCTTGGGCAAGTGACGACATCTTTGGATTTTTACTTTGTCAACCAAAAATGAAAGCAGGACTTTCAGGGGCCTGAACTTGGCCCTAAGGTGTGTTTCATTCAGAATATGCTAAATTGAAAAACAAATAAAATTCAATGCCTCAGTATATTTGGATCTGTGACCCCTGTGCACATAAGGCCTGAGCTCATTTCTAGTTCCAAGGTTGGATTCCTTGGACTGATGTCATCAGTAGAACTTGAGGAACTCCCATCCTTCTCACCACCTTCTAAATTTCCTCCCTGAGGAGCTCAGCTATCTGACATTGACACACCTTGATCAGAAAGGCAATTTGTGCAAGCATACATTTAAAATTTCCTCTTGATAAGTGCCTTATTTCTCCCTCATTCTACTCCTAGAAGAATGAGATTACGATGAAAATTACCAGAAAATGCTACAGCTTCCAATAGGGAAGAGATAAAATTGAGAAATTGGCAATATTTAATAGCAAATAAAAATCATTTACATAAAAACAATAAGTCTATCTACCCAGCATTGGCAAGAAAATAAGAGGTTCAACTGAAATATGCAAGCCAAAGTTCATTTTCATTGGTAAATTGTTTTTAACATATTACATAAATATAACATGTTTTAAACCCAGATATATAGACACATACACATTTTCCTTTCTTCCCTCCTCCCATCTCTTCCTTCCCTTTCTTCTTCTCCATACAAAAACCATCACCCATGGTCATATTGGTTTTAACCTAGACTCTGGATATGCATATGCTATAGGAAGAGCAAAAGATTTTAGAAAAGACATGTAGAGAAATGATAAATGCTATAATTTATGATGATCCACATCTGATTCTGCTTTGGTGAAATTAGTATGCTAGAGTTCCCCATGTATTTTTTATTATTCTGCAATACCCTCTAAGTCACAAGTGATTTGGAAAATGTATGTTCTTTATTACACAAGAGGGGAAAAATATATGGCTGCACTAACTCCCTATTGTAAATAACTTGGAGCAGCTGCTGAAGACCAGATTCCCCATCACCACCATCACCACTACCAAATTTAAAGTACATTAATTATAAAGATCCCTTTAAAATTGCTGCATGGGTCAACTTCCTCTTCTCATTCCTATGCATTCTGGGGATATTCTGAGTAAGTGGATTAAAAATCAGCAATGCTTAGAAATAGCAATCTATGGCTTTGTGCTACTAATCCATACTCTGCCCTGAATGGACACAGGCAATTTCCTCCCATCCATTCTCTGCAACTGTACCTGACCAGCTCTCACCCCACAGAGTGCACTGAGCTGTGTACTTTTCCCCAACTGCTTTCTGTGAGCCTGCATTCAATTCAACAGCTGACTCAGCAAGAAGCTCCTCTGCCCTCAAAAAAGAACAGAAAATCCATGGTATTTCCCAAAAGGAGGCTGATGGAAGAAAATCAGCTGCTCTCTGTCACCCTTTGGAGCAGCAGTTCTTAATTGGAAGCGACTTTGTTCTCCAAGGGATACTGGGCAATATCTGCAGACATTACTGGTCCTACAACTGGGGTGAGGGGTACTCCTATGACCTAATGGGTTGAGGCTAGGCATGCTACTAAATACCCTACAGTACACAAGACAGTCCCCACAACACAGAAGTACCCACCCCAGAGTGTCAGTAGTGCTGAGGCTGAGAAACCTGCTTCCGAGGAAAGAGCTTTTCCCTTGGTTGGAGAACAGAACAGAGAGAACCTAAGAGTCAGGGCTGCTATCAGTGATTAAAGCATCAAATAACCCAAAGGATCACCCTAGCCACAGCTACAGCAGGACTTACAACACAGGAACACTTGATACACTTGTTTCCTTCTGGATGAAATTCCTCTCCTTCCTGATACTGCACACCTTCAAACACACAGCCTGGAAAGTAAAGCAGAGGCCAGAATTAGGGAAGAAGTCTTCTTTCAACCTGATGTGATCCTTCCATCCACTGCTCACCTATCTCCCACCCCCACTTCCATTACACCCCAACAAGTGTCCTCCTTCACCTGTAGATAAGATTACTACATAATTTTTTTTTWAAAATAGAGTACAAAAGATTGACACATTGTCATGGGACCAGAAACCCTAAAGATGCCAGAAAACTTAACAGTCAAACCCAGGGTGGCCCAATGACAGCAAAAGTACTATAGTGACTCCCATAGTGAGCCCCTGCGGCTGTGTCAGGATCGTGGTGACCACTATCAGGGGAACCCATCCCTAAGGGGGCAGAAGAAACCAGAGGAAGGCCAAGGGAAAGAGGTCAACCATGAGATAAAGAGCAGATGATGCTAAAGGCTGCCACATAATGAGTACCAGGGAACTGCACAGCCTCTACCAAGCCCTATGTACCCTGATCTCACTCCACTTTCCCAGGAATCCTACAAAGTGGGGGTCTCTTATTCCTCATTCCACAGATAAGGAAAACATGGCTTGGAGTGGAAGTAATCCACCTGGCAGATAGCCAATTTGAGATTCATACTTGAGATTCATCCTTGGCTCTGACCCACCCACTGCACTAAGCAGAGGGCCAAAGGAAAGAGGGGCAGAAGAGGGCAGTAAATACTCCACGGGTTTTCCACCCCACCTTGTGTGTGTTCAACGGGCTGTGGTCCCTCACAAGTTTGGCTAATAAAAGGATCAAAACTCAGAGTTGTCTTCTAGTCAGAAAGATGCTCAGGACACTGCCAATATTCTAAAGAGATGTCACAAATGACTTGAGGCACAGAGTGCCCAGCAGCTGTGTCCTTCACACTAGGAGAGGACTGTCAATAGCAAAACCACTTTCCTCACAAGGTGCTTGGCCAAGATAGCTGGGGTCCCTTTCCACATAGCAGACTGTGCAGGAAACAGAGCCGCTGAGGGGGCAAAACTTAGCCAAGCGAGCTCTCATGAAGGACTAAGGAGGCGTGTTCAAGGTCTTCCCACTAAAACTGCCAGAAGAAGCCACCAAATTCTTGGAAGAGCTGCTTCTTAATAAAAAAGATCAAGAACATTTTCCCCTGCTGGCCTGACCTCTGGCCCCATCCTTCTTAAAGCCAAATATGGCCCTTCATTCAACAGAAAAACACATAGCCCTGTGCCACAAGCCTGAATTTGAATAGGTAGATAAAGTTGAACTTTTAAAAATATGCCCCAGGAATAAGACCTGTTTGATATACACAACCAGGGCTAGCCAAGAGCCACCTCTTTGATGTTCTGGTAATATGGAAAAACTTGGTAAGCATGGTGCCCCCCAGTGACTGCACCCAGCACTGTTCATGAATGACAGACGATGCCCAGTCTCTCTCTCCAAAGGACGCTTCCAACAAAGTGTCTTCAATTCTTTTCTATGTTTGCACCTCTGATTCTGTGACACAGATGGCCAGACGGATAAACCACAGAATCTACATTTAACAGCTTAAGGGAAGGAATTTCTCTGAAAATTCTGTTCAAGCTGTTCCCTCATGATCCAGCATCCTTGAGCAAAGAGTCAGATGGGATGGAAGGAACAGACAACCAAGAATGCCCTGAAATCTGTTTCAGGAAGAAACTGACCACAGACTGTACATGTTTGTCATTATGTGGAATACCATTCCCTGATCAATGACAGACGCCAGTCCTTCTGAATTAACAATCATACCCTACGGCTTCCCTCGACTGTCTCTATCAAAACTTGGCTGAGGCCACTCTCCTAAGACAAAGGATAATACATGCTGGAGCAGCTCCTTCCCATGTGCATTCCAATCACTGTCTGTGGGAATGAAGGACAGGGAGCAAAGATGATTCCTGACCTCATATCAGAAGGCACAGAACCTGCCCAGGAAGGCAAGTRGTCAGTGTGTGACACAGGCAGCCTCACTGTTAAAGAAGATCCACCACCCAGGGCACCTGGACCTAAGCAGAATACTTCTCATGGTGTGTGGTGAAGTGAGAGGTAGTGTAGTGTGGTGGTGAGGTAAGAGAAGGGCCAGGGCCCAGCGATACCTTCAGCCCTTACTCACTTGTGTACCTGGGCCTGGTTTCTTCCTGTTGAGCAGTGGACACCACCCCACCCCTCAATGGAAGGCTGTGAGAACTTAGCAGTGCAATATGTACAACCCTGGAGCCCAGCCCTTCCCTTCCTGGGAACACAACCAAAATCAGAGTGAAGGAGCCATTGCTCAAATTTGAAAACTTCAATGGCTGAAATAAATTCATGCTGCTGTTTGTGTGCCTACATTTCAAAGACAACCTAAAACATGACTGTCTCCTAAATGAGAAGGCAAGAGGTGATGAGCTTCAAGGCTTTGCATTACCCTTGCTCCCTGACGGGTCCTATGGTTGTGGGCTGGGGGTGGGGTATCTGAGTCGATTCTGTATCCATAAAGCAACAGTCTGCTCAGAACAACCAAATTCGTATTTGAGAGATTTCGTAATTTTTGAATCTGGTTGACAAATAACATTTGTCTCATTACCAATCCCCAAGCTTGGCTGTGAAAAGAAATGTCGGAGGAGTCCAGGGTCCCACCCTCAGAGGTTCTGATGGAATTGGTCTGAGATGCAGCTGGGCACCAACCTTCTCTTTCCCTTCACTTTTTCCAGGTGATTCTAACGTGCAGCCTAGAGAACTAAGCTCTAGCTTAGCAAAGACCCCATAGACATTTAAGAATGTGGCTCAGGAGGCTGAGACAGGAGGACAGAGAGTTCAAAGCCAGTCTCAGCAAAAGCGAGGCACTAAGCAACTCATTGAGACCCTGTCTCTAAATAAAATACAAAATAGGGCTGGGGATGTGGCTCAGTGGCTGAGCGCCCCTGAGTACAATCCCCAGTATCAAAAAAAAAAAAAAAAAAAAAAAACCAAACAAATTTTGGAAAGAATCACTTTAATGCTTTACAGAAATCTAGTAAGAAAAGGAAGCTGAATAAAGACATTCTAAGATATAAGGAAGATTAGAAGTAGTAGACACTGGCTGTCCTTGTCACTGGAGGTGAGAAAAGACTGAATTCTAAAAAGAGCTCCACTCTACCACATGGAGGGGAAAGAGCCTAGCTCATTTCTGCACAGTATCCCACCATGGTGCCTTCTCAATTCACAAGAAGGTCCCAAGATCAGAGGACCCTCTAGAGAGTAACCTTTCAAAGCAAAGGGTAGTATCTGTATCATCACCCATAAGGAAGAGTGCTCAGAGAAGACCCAAAATGCAGAACACCTGTTGGAAACACTTGGCTAGCAACTTAGGAGATCAGAAAAACTCTCTCACCTCAAAATCCCCAGGCTTGTACGAAAGGGCAAGAAAAGATGCAACAGGCCTTTGCAATCCTGTTCAGAAAACGAAGAGGAAACATTCCCAGCCACTAGAAAAGGAAGATCCTTGCTCTCAGTTAGMCAGTGTCCTCTCATTTGTGTCCTCTCACAAAGACAGTGGGTCCAACTTGTTGAACCACACTGAAAACTTAGACCAGCAAAACCCTAAGCTAAACTCACTAGGGACACAGCTCTCAGTTTTCAGAAAACATCTGGTCACCTCATCACCCGGGTGAGCTCTGGCCAACGTATTGCAATATGAAGCAGTAAAAAGACATTTCTGGAAACAAGTGAAAGCCACAGCCTTTCTTTCCAAAATAAGCGTTACCTGTGGCCCTGTGGAGTGGAAAGCAGGCCTCTGAGAATCCACATGCCAAGACCTACAGCACGATGTGTTCATACTGGGCACACGGAGGAGGCCAACCAGACATTTCTATGCAAAAGAGCTTGCTTGCTCTTTTAAGTCCATCAGGTACACAGATGTAAAGTGAGGAAAATCCCAGTTGGGTGGGGGGTGGGGATCATGCATACTTGAGAGAAGACAGATTTCAATACTCAATACTCCTGCACTGCACCAGAGAGCTTTCCAGCCTTCCACTTCCTGAGAATATTACCTGGACAAGTCGGGCAGCAGGCTCCCAGATGCTCCAAAGGGTTTCTACAGTGAACAACACAGCGGACTTCAGACTGTGTAACGACACCTTCCTGCAAAACAGAATGTCCCAAATCAGTCATCCCAGAAGTCCTACCGAGGAGCTACTATTATAGAAAAATAATCAAGGAAGGTGTTATGATTTGGAACTGGAACATCCAAGCTCAGCTTAGACAATGCAGCCATATGCAGAGGTGAAAAGATCAGATTTGTGAGAGCTCTGACCTTGTGAGTGGATTAGTTCATCCTATGGATGGTAATTGTGAGCGCGTGAGGCATGGTTGGTAATAGTAAGCACTGGACGTTTACCTTGGGGACTGTATCTGTCCCTGGCCCCTTCCTATCCCTATCTCTGCTTCCTAACTGCCATGAGTTGAGCAGCTTTCCTCCACCATGCCTTTGCACCATGATGTTCTGCTTCACCTCAGGCTTAGAGCAATAGAGTCAGCTGACCGTGGACTGAGACCTCTGAAACCATAAGCCCAAAATTAAATTTTCTTACTCTATGTTGTTCTTGTCAGGTATTATGTCACAGCAATGAAAAACCGACGAAGAAGGAAAAGAACTGGAAAGGTACAAGATGAGGATGAGTGTGAGGCCTAGAGATAGATACATGGCACACATGAGGTAAGAGCCATTCACCCAGACCTACTCTGTGGACCTCAGAGTGCAAATCCTGTCTCCTGTTCTTTTTCCTGTTCTTGTACTTTCTCTTCGGCCCTGCCTGCTTTCTTTTAGTCTAGGTTTTAAGGCCTTCTTGCCATCAGTCTATACCTGACAGTCTGGCCGCTCACTCACAATTGTTTTCAGTACTGGCTGTATTTTCTATCATTGTTATTACTCTTCAAGCCATTAACTGTGAGGAACAGAGTACACATGTAACACCCAGGCTAGCATTCAGAGAGCCAGATAAATTCTGACCACCCTTCTAGAAATAACAAGGCTGGTTTTGCAATCTTAAAAATGTAACTTGGTTTCACACCGTCTGGGGTTGGGTTTTCTCTCATATCAAATGAAGAGAGATGACAAAACAGTTTCTAAGTTTGTATTTAAGTAAGTCTAAACAGAGACTTCAAGTTTTAGTCATGAAATCAAGTGTGTCATTTGCAAACTGATCTTGAGATTCTGCTATCATCTTAATGTCAATTGAAATATTTTTTTTTTTTTAGAATTTTTAATATTTATTTTTTAGTTCTCAGTGGACACAACATCTTTGTTGGTATGTGGTGCTGAGGATCGAACCCGGGCCGCACGCATGCCAGGCGAGCGCGCTACCGCTGAGCCACATCTCCAGCCCCAATTGAAATATTTTTTAAATTAATTCTCAGAGTCCATCTTTGAAGAGTTTCCTCTGTATTCTCTACCCATTTTGTACAGGAATTTGTGATTTTTTTGGTATTTATTTGTTTTATTTTGTTTTGAAGGGAGGTTAGCATGGGCTGAAGACAGATGTAACCATGTGACAACTAAGCCACTTTTTTCATTATGTCTGCCACCATTTAGTACCAATTCAACAAGGAGAGTTCTACACTAAATGTCTTCATATTATGTCAGGAATAAGATTTGTAGGACCAAGTGGATTTATTGTAGTTTGTAACACATTTGGAGACAGGAACAATTCTCAAAATACCAAGAATAGATAAGATTTAAAAAAAAAATCCATGTCTTGGTTATGTAACTGAAGCAATGCAAAAATGCTATGATCCAGTCGGGTGTGGTGGCTCAGACCTGTAATCCCAGCAGCTCAGAGGCTGAGGCAGGAGGATTGTGAATTCAAAGCTACACGCAGAAATGGAGGCAATAAGCAACTCAGCGAGACCCTGTCTCTAAATAAAATACAAAATAGTAATGGGGATGTGGCTCAGTGGACAAATGCCCCTGAGTTCAATCCTGGTACTAAAAAAAAAAAAAAAAGAAAGAAAGAAAGCTATGATTCAAAGTCAAATTTCCTTCAATATCTGCAATTCCGTTGGAGGCTTCAAGTTAGTTTCCACCATCTCTGATGATCAGGTTGTCCTCTTCTAGTAGGAAATCAAAAATTCATCAGAGGACATAAGAAAGGAGGCAAAATTCAACTCAGACACTAAGGAAATCCTTGAATTCACTGTTGTCTGGACTCTAATTGTAGCCCCACACATAGGCATCTACCAGGAGCATTTTTAATGACAGTCTTGATTATTGCTTCTAACCACCAATGAGACAGTTCTAGTTATAGAGGGTATAAGTGAGGTGCAGAGAGGTTAAGTAACTAGTTATGTGAGCAGCAGAGCCTGTATTTCACTTACTGTCCTACACTGGGTCCAATGGAACTGATTTTGTGCCCTCAGAAGAGCTTTCAGATAGAGTTTGCAATTGTGTCTGTTCTTTGGAGAAAAAAGAAGACTAGCCTGAGAAGTGAAGATCATTTCCTGCATTCTTTGATGAGGTCTCAATCCCTAAAGACTGGAAGCAAGAGATGGCAAAGTGGGAAGGTTCAAGCTGAGCAAAGGAACAGTTCTATGTAGCTTTCTTCACAGGATCCTGCATCGTTTTTGCTTATTGAATGAAATGGCATCACACTAGCCAGCAGGGCTTAGGCAAAGTTTTAAAACAGGAGGATGAAAGACAAATTTGATCTTCAGCAGGTAACATCCCCTTTCTGCATGCCACTCTGCAGTTCAGTATTTCCTGACTTCCCATAATAACTTGATTTTCCTGCATCAATTGTCTCCAGCCTGCTGAGTGACTAGTAACCAGAGATGATAGGCAATTGGAGGTTTAATGTTAACAACTGATAATGGCTTGTAATCTGTTCTTCAGGCAACAAAATATTCCCTCCCTCCATTTAATTTAAACAAGGTCTTCATTCAAAGGCAGGAAAATCTTTAGATACAAGCAACTTCAGGATCAACATGACCTGGGATGATTATACACAAATGTTATACTAGACTGCAAAGTTATCCTGTTTAACCAACATTTCAACCAAGGCTTCCAGAACACCCTGCCAAAGAGTGAAAATTACATTGATCAAAAAGCAAGGTGGAAGTGAAGTGGTGCAAGTTTGTAAGAAATGTCAGCTTTTGGTGTTATTAAAACTCTTTGCTCTTATCTCTGTATCATGAGGCTGGTTGAATTTATAAACTAGTGTAAAAATTCAACAAATATTTATTGACATAATTAATTTATCATTCACAGCTGTCTTACCTTCTGCTTATTTCAAAAATGACTATATAAATAAGATGAATAAATAACTGAAGGTCTTTTGAATGAACATGCTTGCTGTGGGCATTTAATAAGAACATGTTAATATAAAATTCATATTTCATAAACTAAATGTCAATATGCGTAAGATAAGATCAGAGAGAAATATCTCTTGTGGTGCTCACTTTTTAATCTCCTTTTAATGCAAATGCATTTCCTGAGATTATGAAATGGGATTTGGGATACAATGACTTAATAGCACTTTCACCACAGAAAATTTCTAAGTTATATTAAAAGTAAATGAGCATTATTTTTTATCAGAGTATTTCTTTAAAGATAAGAAAAGCAGTTTAAAATTTTAGTTCTATGATTCCCTTTGGTTCATCTTTCTGTGTTTAATACCTGTGAGGATTAGAGCCATGTGGAATTATTGTTCTTTTTGGAATTCAGCAAGCATCAGCCACAGTGGGTTCCTTGGTTGCTGAAAAAAGTGGCTCTTGGGTTTGTCAGGTTGAAATCATCGAGGTCACAGTGTACCAGTTGCTTCTATTTAATACAGTTTATGGATTGGCTCTGGCTCAAAATCTTTCTAAATCAAAGAAGGAAAACCTATCCCATCTAACAATACCTCTTTTCTGCTAAGAGGAATTCATGTTTTGCTTAAAGATAATTTCAGAGGAAGACATGAATTTTCCCCAAGAATGTATGCATCTTCCTGCAGTTTTTCCAGGCACCGTTTAGCAAGGGTGGACAATTCTGTTGTGTGTTTCTGGAAAAAAAAAAAAAAGTCCTATACAATGTCCCTCCTGTACCTGTCTTCTTATGGTGAATGTCACAGTAAAATACATACAAGGATACAGTTGATTTTTCATTTGTTTATCTTTTTTGTTTTTCATTTGAGGGTTTTATTTTATGTGGTCTGGAAGGGGGAGCTAAGGAGGACCCTGTGGAGTCCTCACTGGAGAGTGAAAAAAAAAAAGCTGGATTTTACCTGGCACTGGTGCAGGACACAGGGCTCAGCTGAGCTCTGCCATTTGAAGGAGCTGTTGTAGGTATTTCCTTCATAGGTGCAACCTAGGTGGGAAACACAGAAAGAAAAAGAAAGGCCAAAAATGAACATATGTTTCCTTTATCTTTTGAGCAAAAGAAGTTATATCTAATTACAACAAGACTAGTAATCCCAGGGACCATCAGCTCCCGGGCTATTTTTTCCCAGGACACAGCTAAGCCTTCTAAGTACCTACTTGGCATCCACTTAGGTTAATTCTCTGACTACTAAATCCACTAATTCATGGACTGTGTTTTCAAATGAAACATCACAGATCAATGAACTCTCTTAGCCAAAATGCATGATTTTATTATGCTTAACAAAGTTCTCATACTTTATTACTTCTCATAATACCAGAGCTAAAAGCAGCACTATGAAAATGGTGATCTTACATGAGAGCAAAGGAACTCAAAATTGCTGAAGATCAAGAAAGAAGTTTCAAATGTGGCAGGGACTTAAAGCAGAAAACTAAAATAGAGAGACTGATTGCAAAATTCTATACATAAGAACTATTGTCTTCACCAGATAAAACCTTCCAAGGCTTACCTCCTAGCTTGCACAGCGATGATTCCCTGGTTCAATTTTATTTTACTCTTAGGTAATAAATTAGATTAAACATATATGAAACTGCCAATGTATGGATTACTATATGTTAACTCACTGGCCAAAATAAAAGTCATACTTATTCATTGGCAAAAAAAAGAAGAAGAAGAAGAAGAAGAAGAAGAAGAAGTCAAAGACCAGAGAGGCTCCCAAGAGGGAATAATTCATTTAATTGAGATTCCTCAAATAAATAATGGCATAAAGTCAAAGAAATAATGGTGTGAAGAACAAGCCTCAATCTTGATTTAGTTTGTACAAGCAACTTCCACACTGAGGGTTATACTTCCTGGGAAGGTGCAATTGGCTATGCCAACAGTCACTGTAGTCTCAGGAGCCCACCAGGCTTAGAATGTTTAACCCAAAAAGTATAGAAAAGAACACATAGAAGGGATAATACAGAAATCAAAGGCACTGCCTGTCTGGTGCAATGACTTCTGGCTACCTAATCAACCTCAATTCTTGTCTGTTTATCTTGTTCAAGACAAAGAGGAAAGACTCACTTTCTTCCATGAGTCCTTCTAGATACAGATGTGGTCAAAAAACTTAATGCATAGAAGCAGAATAATAAAGAACTTAGGAAATTTTCAGTAGATGTTTTTATAAACTCAGAACCATGATCTAAATTCCCAAAGAATTATGAATGACTGAACAGAGCTCGGTAATACTCTTCTCTCTAGTTCTTACAAATCAAATTACTAAAGTACACAGCTGATTGGAAACATATTAGGGAAATGCTTTCGCTATATATTTTTTAATTTCCTTTGCATGAAGTGTTACGGAGATAAAGTATTCAACCACAGGAAACTTTAGCACACTACAAATTCTCACGCCAAACCAAGGATGAATACAGTAAATTTTCAACAATGAAAACCAATATAAAACAATTGAGGCTAGCATAAATCTTAGCAAACAGGCACACTTAACAATCGACGTGCCATGTGCATGTCTGACCCACTAACACAGACTCACTCAGATAATAAATAACTTGTTCCAAGAGATGGAGGCGGGGAAATCAGAGAACCAAATCCAATTCATGTTAAGTCCAAGTGCATATGAAACGCCTGCCAAGTCTGCCAGTAGAATTTCCGAATATGCTATATATTTTCATCATCTGGATTAAAAAACTTAAAGAAAGGGTAATTTTTTTTTCTGCTTATAGGGCAGGCAAAGATCTTGCCTTTTTTACTCAGAAGGAAGTGTTGTACAAAACCCATGCAGCCCAGGGAGGAAGTGCAGGCCAAAAGATCGTTCTTAACCGATGCCAGGTCATGTGCAAAGGGCGCCAAGAGCAGCACAGGGGCCTCTGGATTATTCCACTCTAAATGGAATAAAGGAATCTAAAGGGATTGGAACAAGTGGTCCACAGTACAGGGAACCCAACAGTGTTTTCTGCTTCAAATAACTGTCCATCCGAAGCATCGTTCCTCCCACCACATTCTAACACGTGAAGAAAACTGGGCAACAATATTGGAAAATCGGACCAAGGTCAGACTGTGAAGTGCTTCATTGCTTTACTGCCCTTGTTCATACATCAATCGATCAAACCTGAATCAAAGTAACAGATTTCCTCCAATGATGGATGACTCTGAATTACTAAAAAGACTCAAAAACATCTGGGAAAATCTCCACAGCAAGGGTAATCCACGCCTTTTCCTTCCTCCCCTACCCTCACTAGCATTAGCTAGCTATGGAGACTGCGGTACATCAGGGATCAGAGGAGCTTTCACAGGTGAGGATTCTCAGAAATAAGATGATTAAAGAAAGGTTATTACCACTCTTAGGGCTCATGTTCAAAGATAAGCATGTTATCTTAGTGAAAGACACTAAGATGCACTATATGAAGACGTAAGTAACCAAATAAAAACTTAAATATACTCCAGAAGTAAATCACCTCTTTTTTTCTTTTTTTTTAAAGAGAGAGAGAGGGAATTTTTAATATTTATTTTTATTTTATTTTATTTTTTTTTAGTTTTCGGTGGACACAACATCTTTATTTTTATTTTTATGTAGTGCTGAGGATCGAACCCAGCGCCCCGCACATGTCAGGCGAGCGCATTACCGCTTGAGCCACATTCCCAGCCCTCACCTCTTCTTTTCTATAAGGTAAATTCTTTGTAATAAATTCTATTTGTCACCAACTTTATGTTGATCACAGGGTACACACACAAAACCTTGCCCTCCTTTTTTGTTTAAGCCTCAGAAGCAAAATATACTAACTCTCTTTTTGGACAGAATTGAAAGAGGGGCAAAGAAAAATTTCCACCATATATCCAGGCAGAGTTTTCATACTGCCTCTCATGAAAGATGAGTTTTATTTTTGTTTTTCCAATCCAATGCAGACTGATACTTTAAAAAATATAATAAAGATGACTTACTAGAATAATTGAATTTAAAAGACTATACAAAATGATGTAAGCCCATTTTTTATTATTACATGTAATAGTTACAGGATCCTCTGTCACTGAGCCACATCTCCAGCCCTTTTTATTTTTTATTTTGAGACAGCGTCTTACTAAGTTGCTTAACAAACTTGTTAAGTTTGTGAGGTTGGCTTCCAACTATTGAGTATCCCACCTCAGCCTCCTGCCTCAGCCTCCCAAACCACTGGGATTACAGGTGCACTCCACCATAACCTTTTTCTTTAAATGATATTTACATAAACTTTCTACAAGAAAATTTGTAAACACCCATTCATTTTTCCTCTGGTATCAAAGAGCTTTAGAGATTCCACAAGTTTCAATAAAACCATAAGTACTACGGAAGGAAGAAGTGGTTATTTTCTGATAAAAAAAAAAATCACACTATATTTAAACCAGTAGTTTGAAACCAAGGGAGATTTTGCCTCCCACCCCTTCTCCCTCCCARAGACTTTTGGCAATGTTAGGGGACATTTTTGGTTGTCACAACTAGAGGATTAGGGATATTCCAGGCATCTAGTGGGGTAGAAGCCTCGGATGCTACTGACAGCTGACAAGGCACAACAAAGAATTAACCAGCCCAAAATATCAATTGTGCCAAGATTAGGAAATACTGTCTTAAACCATCATGCAGAGTGTAATAATCTTCATTTATGTCTAAAAAATACAAAAATGAGCCTAAGCTAGTAATACTTTGCTTTTATATGCATTTGGGCTCTTTTAAAATTAAATATTTTTCAGAGTGAAGAAGAACTTCATTGTATTTTTTAGCAGACATGCTCTTGTAGAGAAGCTCTGCCTAGTCAACCAGTCATCTCCAAAAACACATGGCGATGGAAACAGGAAGAAGACAAATTAATTGAATCCACAGTTAAACAATAAAACTCATTTTTCCTATTAGTTGCAACCTTTTGCAGTGGCCACATTATCCCAAGGGAGAGAGAATACCACACATTTTCATCATTCTGTTGTTAAAAGAACTGTTGAAAATCATCACGACCATAAAAAATGGCACTGGCCTTTGAACAAGTCTTAAATGTGCCTGGTTTCGCCCTTGTAGTCTAAATCCTGTCACTGCTTATGCTAACCTGAGCCTTAGAGCAAAGAACTGGAAGTTATCATCACCGGTAGCTTACCCAAAGCCCCTCACAGTGTGTCCCCAAACTACATTTGGAGTCCTTTCCTTCATCCCTAGAACACCACCATGATTCCTGGGGTTGCTTTCTCAATGAACCTGCATGCTTCTGAATGCATGTTCAAGTTCTCAATGGGCAGCCTGGCTACGGTGGGATGGCCATTCACCATCCCCATGAAACTTATCCTCTCGGGCTGCAGTTCTCTTCCGAAGTGCATAATCAAAGGACACTGGGTCTTTATCCTATAGGACCTCTCTCACACCTTTCTTCTTCAACCCCCCTCACACATTTTAAAAACTCTCTTCCAATTCTTTCCGTTCCCTCCATTCTGGCCTCAGCTAAGCTGCGGGTTATTTCTCACCTGGACTGTTACAACAGCTCACTGAATATTTTTCCTGGTGTGGTAAAGACGGTATCTTTCAAGTCCTCCTCTCCAATAGCTGCCTGCATGTGCCTTTTCAAGTCCAGATTTTATTATGTCATTTGCTGACTCGAACTCTATCAATGACGGATGGTGCTCAGCCTGGCTGAGATGTAGACTATGTACCAACCCCCCAATCCTTCTTCTCCTGACCAATCGGATCAAAAGCTCTAGAAATAAGAAGTGGGAAAAGGAATCTAATGTACAGCTGGGATTGAAAACCACTGACCTTTACTCTAAAATTAAAACTTGTTGGTATATCCAGTCACATCTTGGCATCCATAACGGATTGGTTCCAGGACCCCCAGAGAATAGCAAAATCCACAGACACTCCCTTCAAAAAACATGGTGTATATTTGCATATAACCTACACACACCCTCTCACATACTTTAAATCATCTCTAGCTTACTTAAAATATCTAATATGATGTGACTACTATGTAAATAGT